TATAAGTGACTCTTTGGGGGGCAATGTTATGTCATATTGATGTGACTGTAAGATTTTTTCAATGCTTTCTAAATATGCATCTAATTAAATGTAGATGTCACATTAAGAACTTCAGGAGAACTAATTACAAATGTTTGTCTGTCTTAAAATAGAGTTAGCAGAGCAAAAGTAAAATTAAATCATGCATCCAGTCCACAAATATGTTTTGAATGCCTACTCTGTGCCAGGCCCCATATTGGGAGATGGGGTACACTGGTATGAACAAGGCAAACAACTGCCCTCATGCAACTTTGAGCAATCTGACTAATACATTCAAGGCTGTCTTATGAGTTTCCCCAAGATAATAAAAAATATCTCCCATCAAGTCCTTTACATAAGGTTGTTCTTCGGGTCAGTTTATGAGCTTATTATGAGACAGCATTTGCTTAGCACTTACCAAACTCATTGTAAGTAAGTATTAGAATCTCTGTTCCCAAGGTTTCAGTTTGTCCTTTGTGTTTTCTGTATTTAATATTTAATAAATGGAGAATAGTGACGAAGTAATTGGAATGAATCAGGGGGGTGCTCAATCCCTAATCTGTCATAAACAAAATATGGGTGGGAGAATGTGCCTTTTCATCATATCTGGAACATTTTCAGTTGGCATATTATTTAATAAGTCATTTAAGAAAAGACGGTGCAGATTTTTACAAAATTGCTGTAAAGTTATGTATAGTTAGAGAGTATACCATAACTTGATAATCGGTTTTTCTCAAGTATGAAATAATTCTTCCTTTTGTCCTAATTAGAATGAATAGAACTTAATTGTACCCCTACAAAAGTGATCAGAAAAATCTAGCCTCTTCCAGCTTCCACAAATAGCTCTTAGAGTTACTTTAAGGTCGGAGGCTGTTAGGCCACTGTCCTCCTCTCAGGAACTTAATGATAGTTTAATCAAGTCAAGAAGGAGATGCTGGATGATCTCATTCTTGATAGACTCTGATAAGATGGTAATGGGCAGAAGTGTTTTCCCATAGAGGTTTAGGTTTCAGCTGCACAAAGAAACTATCTTTCTGAAATATGAGCCCAGGTGCAATACAAACTTGTCTTTTGCCCAAAAGCTGTCTTAGCTGCAAGGTCCAAGAATCTTTGGACCTCAGACATGTATGATTTCAATGTCAGTGGTTGTGGGATGCATTTTATTTTTCCAAAGCAATTAGTATCATAGGCTTGGTTGCCTTTTAAGAGCTTGAGTTTAGAGATGCTCAGAATTCTATATTACAGTTGCCAACTGTCTTTTGTTTTAGAGTGCCGTATAATTTCATATGAGCTCCTCAATTGGAACATTTGGGGAGGCTTTATAGAGACAAAATCATTATAATCAGATTTTATAATTTTAATTTACCTTTACAGCTATCTATAAGAGTGTATAATATGTTTTGGATAGTTAAGAAAAACCAGTATTCATCCTCAATATGAGACATTTTTATGTCCCCCTAAAATGCACAGTAATTCATCGATGAGGTAACTTGAGGCTTTCAAAATGGAAAATAGAGTTTTCACCTGAGGACATTCTTGGTTACAAGTGGTTATTAGGGAAAGTGATTGCAGACTTTGGATACTGCCAGCAGGCTAAAACCTCCTGTTCCACTCAGATGGCCTGTGGTATTCTGGAATACAAAGGTGGCCAAACCAATGTTCTGATGACTGTTTTGATCCAGGCATTGGAAGAAGTTGTGTTTTTGCAATTTGACTCTGAATTCATTAATGGCAACATTTGTTTCTTGTGTAGCCAAGCATGTTAATAAAGCTTCCTTTCTGAAAGTAGTCCAGAGAACCAGCTTCCAGAGCAAGGAGGAATTCTCTAGAAACATATTAAGACTTTATGCTCCTCATGCTGTAAAGAAGTTATTCCATGAGAACTACTTTATTGTTCATAAGAGCGTATTATTAACTCTTTGTTCTTTGCTGATAGCAAAATGTATGTATCTGATGGTTAGATATTGTCTTAGTGTGTGTGTGTGTTTTTAAAGAGGTCACTTAACAATCTGGGTTTCTATATAGGGTATGGTTTATTGTACCCACAGAGGCAAATGGCTTTGATCAATTCTCCCCTGGTGGCTGGGCTATGTATGCATAAAAGTTATGGAGTGTTGGGAAGGGACACTTAGCTAGGCTTTTGTTTTAAGAGATGCTTAGAATTGCTTTAAATTCTCTTTTACTAGTCCTATTCCTAGTTCCTTAAAAAGGAAAAGAAAATTAAAGAAAAAAGGGCTTGGGCAATGCTGATTTCTTATACAAGTTTTGGTTTACATACAGTTCTCCCAAGAGGAGCAGAGCGACTCCAAAATGACTCCATCCCCTGTTTTCTAAGGAAAAAAAAAGTGAATGAGCATTTTCATGTAGTACAAATAATAAATAATGATTAATTTCCAAATAACAAACTTCCATAAGAGAAGTCTATACATGGAACAGAAGGGACACAGAGGAAGTGATAATTAATTCTATTTGCTTGATACATGCTAGATGGTTTGCTGATTTTAATTCTTGAGGGATCCAGTCAAGGTTTCATAAGGAGAGCTAAGCTGATTGTTAGTAGATGCTAGTGAAGATGGGGTGAGGAGTGGAGGGAAAACTACACAGAAGGAATGAGGCTACAAAATGAGTGAGAGGAACTCTGAAAAATTCAGTGTCCTATCTGAGGGTTACTGAACAGAGTGCTGAACAGAGTAAGGCATTTAGCACAGTGCTTGGTACCCACTAAATCCCTGTTGAATGGTACCTTAAAAATAAAAGCTGCTTCCAGTGGTGTTCTGGTAAAAGTTTAACAATAGAAGGGAGGGAAACCCCTGATTTGTTGCCTTTGCAGATTTAATGGGTGTAAATTCTCCCATTATGGCTGATTTCAAGTTACTAATATGATGTCTTTGAACTCACAGTTGGGAAGAGGTGTACCATCAGCTCTCCTGAGTGGGTGCAAGTTCGATCTAGCACATCTCTTTCTCCTTCTGTCTTGTGTGTAAAGCTCGAAGTTTTTGCAATCCATCTTTTGTGTCTGAAGGGTATTCTCCACAAGTCACCCTGGCCTAAGCAGCAGAAATTTAACTCAATTACTAAAAGATGAACGGTGTTAATGTGAGGTATATTATTGGAAATAATTGCTAAGCTCTGGGGTATGAATTTTGCTTGGGGGAATTTCTAGACTCAGATCTTTGGCTGAGAGCCACTCTAAGTTTTAGACTTGAGAGTAGGAATGGTTTTTGATTCTCAGCTGGATGAGGGTGGCCCTGGTGGGAGGAACTGACTAATGCGAGTTACTTGTTAGAGTTGGGAGGAAAGATATTTTTGTTAGCAGAAAAGAGATACTAAGTATTTTTCAGTTTTTTTCCTGCTGATGAAGGTTTGAGTAGGCAAAATGTGTAGGAAAGAAGAGAAAAGTCCAGAATTCCATGTGGTGGAGGAAAGTAGAAACTGAGGACAGAGCAGTCTTTAAACCTGCTTTCAGTGGAGGTGTTGTGGGAGAGTCCTGGGGGAAGAGTAATAATGATAAGGAAGACACTTGTGTACAGCTGCTCACCTAACATGCTGGCCTTGGTTCTGAGTGATGTACGTGTTATATTTTTTCATCCCTGACGACTGTCTTGAAGGATAAATACTCAAATCCATTCAATTGCTCAAGCCAGAAATTTAGGAATTAACCTTGATTGTTCCTCTCACCCACTACATCCTATTTATAACCAAGTCTTGATGATTATACCTCCACTTACATTTCACAGCCACTTGACTCCTCTCCATGTCCTCGTCTAATCCCTTGGTCTAGGCCACCATCATTGTTCACTTCTTATTTGGTGTCCCTGAGTCCACAGTTCCTCTTTCATCCTTTTCCTACCTGGCAGCAAGAATGATACTCTTAAAAAGGTCATTTCATGTTATTCTCCTGCTTAAACACTTTTGATAGATCTCTGTTACCTTTACAGTGAATTCTGGACTTCTTCACATGATCTAACCCTTATTTAGCATGCTCTTTGCTTTCTAAGTCCCAGAACACTGATTTGTCAGTTTTTCAAACATCCAGAATCTTTTTTTTTTGCATTTGCCTAAAGCTCAATTCCCTCTGCTTCCCTTCCCCTCTTCTGGGTTCTTTCTTATCCTTGAGGTCTCCATTTAAATGCCATCTATTAAGAGAAGACTTCTTTATCTTGTAATTCAGGCAGATCCTTCCCCTTCTTGATAGTCTCTGTCTTATCACCCTGTTTCTTTCATAGCATTTTCTGTTCAATTTAAAAAATTTTATTCCTTATTTTTAGCTTCCTTGCCCACTTGACCATGGATTAGTACTATGTCTCTCTTGTTTATCACGGTTTCTTCAGTTCCTGGCACCATGCCTGTCATATAGTAGATGCTTGATAAATCCCTTTTGAATGAATGAAGAAACTGTGTCAGAGTTCAAGGTCACTTGGGTTTTATGCTGTTGCCTCTTCTCTCTAACTGAGTACCTTTCCCTCTCCTACCCACCACCTTCTGTTGTACAGCGGCCTGGTTGCAGTGGGGGTTGGGATTTGGCCTGTGGTGTCTTTATAGTCTGATCCAGTCCCAGGGTTACACCCTGACTTTACCCATCATTCGTTTGCTGATAACACATGAATCTGGGTCTTCACAGCACTCTTACTTCACCTCTAGTCCACACTTCCAATGCCAACTGGGCACCTTTTGACTGAGCCTCGGGTGCCTCAAACATAACTTATACAAAACTGAATTATCCAAATTCCCTGTTTCTCTTTCTGTATTCCTCATCTCAACAAGTGGCACTTTCATCTACTCAAGTTTTCCAAGTTAGAAACCTGTGCATCTTCCTTGAGGGATTTTTCATATCTCCAAGTCAGTCAATAAAACCTACCAGTTTGAACCTCTGTATATCGTTTGACTCAGGACCCTTCTTCCTCTTCCTGCCATCTCTGCCTTAACCCAGGCCACTATCTTCTCTGACCCATTGCTACAGCAGCCTCCTCACCATCTCCCTGCTTCAGGTCAGTTCAGCTCCAGTATATCCTAAGGTATCTATCTGAAATACACATTTGATCAGGTCACATCCTTCTTGAACCCTTACATAGCCTCTTCATGATTGGCAGGAGGAAGTTCAAATCCCTTAGCACATTAAGAAGGCCAGAGAAGTACACTGTACTAACTTATGCACAAGTTGTGAGGAATATATAGGGCAAGGATATGAAGAGCAAGATCTGATGCATCACGTGCACTTTTTGATAAAGCAGTGCCTTACATCGTCTGGGCTGTGTTAGCTGCTGTGTATTTAGAGAGGACAAATATCCCTTTTTCTTTTCTTGGCCCATTCTTCTTTATGTCATCTCTGGTCTCCTTTTAGTGGTCATTTTTCATTTGTACGCACATACACGTATGTGTGTATGTTTATTTCTATTAGTTTCTACACTGTACGATTATAATTATGTGTTCTGCAGGCAGCCTGGGCTCTAGGAATTGATCAGTGTTTCTAGATTCATGTGTCAGATTCATAATATCTGAAGTCAGAACCCAAGCATGTCTTTGTTGTAAAGTCTCATGGACCCAAATGCCAATAATTTTCTGAAAAACTTGAAAGTATCTAGTTTGTCTTTTTGCTCACTGTCACTGTCACTACTATTGTCAGTAATGATACTTTGCTGATCTGAAAGGTGAATTGCAAAATATTAACAGATTGTGAAAATCAGCTGATTGGGTCATGACCAATATGTTTTAAGTGAAAAAGATTAGAATGAAGTGTAATGGAATAGAATCAGAGTTTTTCGTGTTTAGTAAGTAGAGGAATTGGTTCATGAAGCTTTCATTTCTGTTAAATTCATGTTGTTATAGACTACTTGTTGCTCATAGTACTCCATTCTTCCAGTCCTAAATTTATAGGTACACAACTGGACCACATTTCCCATGTGCCCTTATTGGCCCTGTGACTAAATTTTGGCCAATGGAACTTGAGCAAAAGTGAATATTCCACTTTTAGGCATTGCCTCTAGAAACCTTGACTCAACTTGTCACTCAAATTGTTTACTATAGTTGGAGGCCTGTTCTAAAGTGTATTTCAGAAAACTGCAGTCAAAAAGTTTAGAAGCTTTGCATTATTACATTTAATTCTCATAACCCTGTGGAGCAAGTACTACGTTACCATTCCCATTTTACAGTTACTGAAGCTGAGACAGAGAGAGATTAAGTTAATTGCTTAAGGTCACAGAGCTAGAAATTAGTAGACCCAGGATCTGAATCCAGGCCATTAGTCTGTAGAGCCTAGGCTTTCCATCGTGACATTGTGCTGTCTCTTATGATGATGCCTATCTCAGGCACAGGCACAGGCTCAGCCAACGCCCAGAGCTTTTCTTACGCCTAAGGTGGCTGGAGCTCAGTTTCCAGTTATCTTTTTTCATTGTTTTGAAGCTGTTTTAATAAATATGGTCTCTACAGACACTTTGAAAACACTACTGTGAAATCTGACTCTGAAGGCTTCGAAGTGTCATGTTGGGATTAGCAGTGTTATTCCCAGGGATTCTGATGTGAGTCTGGCTGCCAAAAATCCCTTCCACTGTTTTGGAAAGGAGAAAGGGGGGTATAGTCCCATTTACAGGGGAGTGAGGGTAATTTCTAACATATGGCTCATGATTTACTATCTTGAAGAAACTTTTATCTGTGGCTCAGTAGCTAGGCCTCGTCAAGCCAAAGATGATGAAAGTGTTTATGAGGAATGGACTTACTAGTTCAATTATTATTTCAAGGGAATGGCCAACAGGAAAATTACACCATTACAGTTTTTAGAAGCTAAGCTCCAATCGTATCTTTGTGGACAGCTTGATTGTTTTTAGAGCAGTTTATTCAACTTCCCTTATATCTTCTCAATAACTCATATCAAGAAGTTTTGGTCTTTGATATGTTAAAAGAAAAAGAGAAAGAAAGTCATCTGTCTTGTTACTCAGCAGTGAGTTTAGAGGGGGAGCTGCCTGACTATGGATGTAGTTGTCTGGACTCCACTGAAGATGGGCTGCATTCTTAATATATTTTGCATTTACCTTTTCTGGTACTTCCCACAGCATGTTTAGATTGTCCTATTTTAATTAAAGAGAACACACACACACACACACACACACACACACACACACAAACACAAACACCCCCTCATCCCACACACATATCACATTTATACACATCCATGGAGAAAAGGTCTGAAAAGCAAGTTTATGCCATATTGCTGATAGCAGTTATCTCTGATACTGGGATTTTTTTCCCAAGCATATGAAAAAATAAGAGAAAAAAGAAAAAAAAAACCCCACCACTTTTGGTGGTGGTTCTTATGATCAAATGATTTTTTTTTTTAATGTTGCTTCCTCCAGCCGAATCTGCTCACCAGCTGTTGTCTCTGTAGCCATACTTTGTAGTGGGACATGGGGGCACCTGAGTCAGGTGTCAGTTCAAGGCTTGCTTCCTCTTTTCCAAGCTGGGTACCTCAGGTGAGTGCTTCAATCTCCAGATTTGTGTTTTAAAATGGGAATAATGATGGTTACCCTGTGAGGATTAGAAATATAGTAATGTCTCTCAGCAGTTGGCATGAGGCCTGGCCTAGAGTAGGAGTTCAGTAAACAGCAGCTGTTGTTATTTTCCTCAACAAGTCAGTTGTCCCTGTCCTCTCCATGCTCACAGCCTCACTTCTCTGTAGGCCCCATTTCCTCAGTTACTGAAATAGTTCTTAGTGATCTGTCTTCCTTGAACTCCCCAGCCTCCAGGTTGCTGCCTGATTCATCTTCAGGGAGCATGTTTCTGATCTTGTTAATTCTTGATGCTCATGAACTGTGCTTGAGCAGCTCATGAGAATTGGCCGCCACCTCTTTATCTTCATTGCACCCCTACATTTTCCCCTGTGCCAGGGTAAATCCAACTACTTGTTGTTCATGTGCTGTTTTGAAAATTGGGTCAAACAACCTTACATTCCCCAGGGCTTTTGTGAAGGTCAGTAAACTAATGTCGCTGCAAGTGTTATAAACTAAAGCGTGGTACACACCTGCATTGCTGTAGTAGTGCTATCTAGTAGTTTCCTAAGGCTACTGTAACAAATTACCAACAAACTTCGTGGCTTAACACAATATAAATTTACTTTCTCACAGTTGTGGAAGACAGAACTCTGAAATCAAGGGGTCAGCAGGGCCATACTCCCTCTGGAGACCTTATAGAAGAATTTGTTTCTTGCTTCTTCCAGCTTTGGTGACTCCACGCATTCCTTGGTTTCTGGCTGAACTCCCTCCAGTGCCTTCTTGCATCTCCATATCACCTTCTCCTCTGTGTGTCTGTGTCTTTTCCTCTCCTATCTCAAATCTCCCTCTGTCTTTCTCTTATAAGGACACTTTTTATAAGAGTTAGGGCACAGCTTGGTAAATTCAGCATGATCTCATCTCAAGATCCTTAACTTAATTATATCCACAAGGATCTTTTTGCAGATAAAGTAACATTTGCAAGTTCCTTGGAGACATGCCTTTAGGGGTGGGGGTGGGATGAGTACCGTTTAATGTACTACATGCTATTTTCTGAACTTCACTCTTTCACTCTTCGAACAAATCTTTATTGAGTGCCTACTGTTTGTTTGATCCTTGCTATGTGCTAGAATACAGCAGTGACTAAGACGGATGCTTCACTTGTCTTTAGGTACCTTATGGGCATGGGAGAAGATGTAGATACTAGGCAATGAATAATTTGACCAGACCTGATGGCTACCTTGTTGGATAATCTTTCCAAATTAATTGAGCTCCCCAAGTCTCAGTTTATTGGTCTATATAATAGGGATAAAGGTGGTAGCCCTGCTTAATTCACAAGAAGGTTATGAAGATCAAAGAAGACCATAGGTGTGGAATTGTCCTTGACCTAGCAATTTTATTGCTATGACTTGGCTCATGATGTCCCTATCAGCCCCAGAGTCTTGGCTCTGGGTTCAAATTGCACCATCACAAGGTTCTGAGACCTTGGGCAAGTGATTTAACTTCTCTGAGCCTCAGTTTCCTAAGCTACAAAATGGGAATAATAATAGTGCCTCACTGGGTTCTCATTGCAGTTGAAACAAACTCATGCATTGGCAGTTTTATTTAAAACATTTATGTATAAGTTCTTAAAAGATTAATGCATATTTCCTTTAGCTAATTTAAAAAGTGTAGATTCACAAGAAAGGAACATGAAAATTACTCATGTTCTTATTACCTATAACTAATCTCTGGTAGCATTTTGATATATATTCTGTCAGTCATTTTTCCCCATACAGTTTATAATTTTCTGTTAAAATAAAAATATGCACTGTTTTGTAAACAACTCTTTTCATTTAATTTATTGTGAACATTTCCCTATTTTTTCCCCAACATCATTAATACAGGCTATCAAACCATCATATACCAGTTTTGTAAATTAATTGAACAGTTATACACAGAGATGAATCAAAATGGAGTAGATAGTTCTATGAGCAGAGGTAGTTCAAAGAATGCCTCTACCATAGGGGCCTCCTCTCTTGGGAGATGGCTGCTGGCCTTGGCTAAGCGGCTTAGCGGGGAGAACTTACAGGAAATTATCTGACACCTACTATCAAATAATTGTGTTTCTTGGAGTCTGTGTTTAGGTTCTGCCTGTATTGCAGTCTCCAAAGCTCTCCAACTCCTCACTGGGCCATCACTGAGGCCTACAGGTCCCATTCTTCAGGTTTAGCTCCATCTCCAGTTATGACTCCATGGGCCCTTTCTTTGAACGGAATTCATCTGATTCAGGTAACCCAGTATCAAATCCACCTTGAAGTGACTCCCACTCCTGCAAGATCCCAAGCTTGGGCCCCATGTAACAGAAAAGCATGATCTCTGCATTTAGGGAGGCCTGAGTTCATATTGCCTCAGTTGGTCACTCACTGCATGACTTGAGTAAAGGTTCATGAATTCTCTTACCCTCAGTTTTCTCAGTTGTTAAATGGGGATAATAATGTATCTCTTAGAGCATTAGGGAAAAGGTTAAACATTGTCTTAAATCTCTCCTAAAACAACATTGAGTAGAAATAAATGGATAGAATATAAATGAGATTATGTACAATATCTCTCATGGAGTTTGTCTGTTTGCTTGTTTATTTATTTATTTATTTATATTATTTCATACTTCCCATGTTGCCAGGTCCTGTTACAAATGGTAACCTCATTTTGAACATGGATGCAATTTAAGGAAGCCAGCTAGACTTAGTAGTCAATGGTGAGTGTCAACAGTGGGCAGGCACTGTGGAATTATGTTAGGGATTAGGAGGCCACCTTCTGCTCCACTTTCCCATTGCCCCAGGGAAGATATACACATACACAGACAGAAAGAATATAGGAAAGATCTGGGTAATAACAGCTAAGAGCACAGGAAGGGGATTGAATCTGAACTGTGTTATAGGCCACTTAGTTACTCAGCGTACTTGCCTGTAAAATGAAGAGAATTGTCAAGATTGACGTTCATAGAACAAGTACAGTTTTGCACAGTATCTAGTATGTAGAAACTAGTCTAAAATGTTGGCTATTGTTATCAGCATTCTAATGAAAATAAAACAAAAATGCAGGATGAGAAGAAAGAATTAATGTGTGTGTGTGTGTGTGTGTAGCCTTCTGCACTACATGGGATTTGAACTGAGCATCTGAGAGATTGCAATGAATGAGGGAATATAATAGAAGGGACAACCTGAGGGCTGTGCTGGGGGAGTGTAGATGGATGAGCATGACTGCAGTGCAGGAATATTGGGGCAGTTATGGTGGGGCATGAGAATAGAGGGTAATGTGTAGCTTCTTTCTAGGAACGGCTTCTGCCTTATGTTTGAGACATGTTGCGAAGTTATTTCATATATTCATCCATCCATCTACCCATCCATCCATCCATCCATCTTTCCCTCATCTGAACATTTAGGCTAGTTATTTTCCCTCTGGGCCTTATTTCCCTCATCTGTAAAATAAGGATAATCACAGGACTCTGGGAGTTGTGGGTAAGGGTTGTGTGAGAGAAGCCATAAAGAAGACCTAAAGTGGCTGAGGCATAGAGTAGGCACTTGGTAATGGATATTAGGTGCGCTTATTTTAGCCACGTGCTAGAGAGTGCTGTGTGCTGGGGATTATGTAGCTACTCAGAGCCTGCCCTCAGATAGTGTAGCTTCTCCAGGTCTAGTACCTGGCTTGGCATTCCACTATTCTTGCTCTTAGATTGGGGCCTAGGTTTTTTGCTCTGGACCTCCTGAGGACTAGAGCTTGCCCCTGGGTTTCCCCCTGCTGCCAGCTTGCTCAACAAAGTCTCTCCCTGTGAATGAACTCCACATGTGATCCATCACTGTCCTTGTGTCTAGGCTGCCTCTTGCCCATTGCACTTTGCCAAAGGGACCATCTACCATCCTGAGGGCATCCTCTTCTTGTGACCGTTCCTGCCCCTATCAGGGTGCATACCTCTTTTTTAGCCCCTTGCCCTTCCTGCACTGGCTTATCTTAATGCCCTCTGAACCCTAGATGGTCATGAGGAGTGGGTCATACTACTACATAAATGTTAAATAGCCAATATTTATTGAACTATGTTCCAGGTACACTTCTAGGGACTATTGCATACTGGATTTATACCTGTTAACTCATTTCATTCTCATAACAGATGGGTGCAGCTCCTGTCCTCATTTATTGATAAGCACATGAGACACAGAGAGTTCTTGCTGTCTGAAGTTTCACAGCTGGTTAGTGGTAAAGCCAGAAGTGGTTTGTAAATCAGACGTCCAAAAGTTAGTTATTACACTTACATGTTTTACAGGAGGAAGAGACCACTGTTCTTAGAGATGTGAAAAAAAATCTCAAATTAGATTTCATTTTTTTAGACATAGTCATTAGGGATCTCTGGGAGTGTTAATAGTTTTGTTACTCAGCCTCATACTTGACCAAAGTGTCAGATTTATGCTAAAGATATGAGACATTTAGAGCTGTGCACTAGTGCCACCTGTCTCAGTTCTTTGGTTTGTACTTGTTGTCACTTATGTCAGTCCTTTTGCTTGAGCTTTTCCTTGAGTTTTAATAAAATAGCAAAGGCAAATGCAATAAAACATTCCAGAGTATGTAGAATCTGCTGCAAAGAAAGGCTGTATGTTGAGGATTTTGAGCAGGTTTAGGGTTGGCTTGCAAGCAGCACCAACAGGTTTTGTTCACCATCTGAAGCCCTAAAGCTCTGATTGAGTGCATGGATGGTGGTTTAAACGGCTCCATCTGTGTTGCCTGAAAGCTAAATGTTTGGAGGTCCCATAGGGGAAGCCAGTGACTACATGTGCATGGGGCACTTCTCTGGAGTGGGGATTGGCCCCTTGGCTCATTCCTGTGAGGCCCCTACCTCGCTCCTTACACCATTTTTGATTCATCTTTGGGGTGTTTGGTTTTTTTACTATTTTGTAAATTGAAGTACAGTCAGTTACAATGT